TGAATCTCAAAACAAGTTACTCCGAGTGAAAAACTCGGATAATGACACAATGTTGCATCTTGCTGTTAGATACAATCACGATGAAGTTGTGATTCGGTTAATGGAAGCTGATCCTCAATTGTGTTGTTTCACTAATAACGCGAATGAGTCGCCCTTGTCCCTAGCTGTTAGAAAAGGCACTCCAAGCATTGTTCATTGTATTCTGAAGGCGTACGAGTCTGGCATTTCTCCTTCTTTTCAGGGGACAAACAGATTGACAGCTTTGCATGCTGCAGTGACTCAAGAACAACTCAAAGACAAAGGTACGTGAACATGGCATCACCTGATGAAATGTGTTGATTTTATATTACGAGGATTTTATTTTGGTGGAAATTTTCACTACCTCTCCCCTCTTTAGTTTTTCCTATATCAACATGGTAGGCGTTGTCGAGATTCTGGTGTCCAAAAACAGTGACCTAATCAAAGAAGTTGATGCTATTGGATGGACTCCCTTGCACTACGCAGCATTCACAGGGAACATTGAAGCTACTCAACTACTGATGGAATCTGATAGTTCTGCTTCTTATATCCTGGACTTATCAAAAATGTCAGCTCTCCATGTTGCAGCTTATGCAGGCCACACCGAAGTGATGAAAGAGTTAATTCGATATCAACCTGATACTTGCGATTTGCTTAATTCAAAAGGCCAAACGGCTCTTCATTCTGCAGTTTTAGGTGGACAAAGAGATGTGGTTGAGTACATATGAAAGAAGCCTAAGCTTTCGGGACTTATTAATGAAGTTGATGAAGACGGAAACACTCCTTTGCATATTGCAGTTATCACCATTTTGATGTTATCACCATTTTGACGGCCGACGTTAGAGTGGACACTACTGCTGTCAATAGAAAATTGTCAAAAGCCATTGATATTTTTCTTGGACAAAATATTGAAGAACAGGTACGCAAAGTGCACACACAAATTCGAGACAAATAAAAACAACTCCTTTTAGGAAGTTTTCATCATCTCCCACGTTTTTTTTTTCGATTAACGAGGGAGGTGAAGACACTTGGATATGTAAGTTGTTGGTGCGTCCTACCCTATAACTAAATGAAATTGATCAATTGTGTTTTATTACCCAGTGCAGTTAGGTTAGAAAGCTTATTAATTCGTTCTGACATCTTCTGTGTACTAAATACAGTACTCTCTCCCCCTATGTTTTAGGAAAGTATTGACACTCCGTTTTTGCAACACTTGGGGTCCTCCGTGGGTGGTCCATTTTTCCAACAAAAAATCAGAGATGAATTCAACAGACTGTAACCATCAGAGAAGGATATGCCCGGCACACCCGCCATTGCACACACCAAGAGGCAAAACCGGCAAGCTACTTCAAATCAGACCTTGAAAAGACATGATACCAAAATAGAGGTGACGACACTTATCGCAACCGTCACTTTTGCAGCCGCATTAACCCCTCCTGGAGGATTTAAAACCGATGGCACACCGGTTTTGTTAGAAAACTCATCTTTCAGAGTTTTTATGATTTTCAACATGTTATCCTTCATACTCGCAATTCTTGCGATTTATAACGAATCAACTCCAATACGTTTCTTGTCCATCAAAATACCCACACCTGCACGTCTCATTCGGTATTCCATCGGAGGGTTGCTGGTAGCATTTTTTTCGGGCAGGTTTGCAATGGTGCCAAAAAGCCAGATAAAGAGAGTTTCGTTTAAACATTTTCCCTTTATACGTACAACTCTACTCGATGCTTTTCTCGGTGTAGTATTTGAATTGGTGCTGGTACTTGCTTTCATAATCCCCGTGTTTATGATTCTACTTCAAAAATTGAGGGAGAAATATCGGGCCCAGACTCAACCACGGGGTTATATTGAATTAGGATTATAAATGATTTTGAAACATTTAAGTGACAGATTTCCTAGAATTGTATAAGTCCTATAGATTTTACACGGATTTTTAATAAACTTGTATAGAATTTTATTATAGACTTCCATACTTTTGTATGAACTTTTGTTATAGATTCAGATATATTTGCATAGACTTCAGTCATTCTTTTTTCCCAACACTATTCTCTGTATATGAGGATGCGTTGGGATCAAAGTTTGTCTTTGCCCAACTGTGCTTAATCATGAAAAAGGAAAAGCACTTCAATGCTGCTCTCTATTGTCAAAGCTTTGGCGGGGCATTAATATTTGGAAAAACATTCAGCTCATTGCGAGGAGAACTAACAATTTTTCAATTGGATTTCTGTCATCATATGGCAAGGGAATAGCACCATCTTCCCTCATATCCTTCTCTTCTAGAATAACTAATATAAATTATATATATATATATATATATATATTTGCTTTTCAATGGAGATATAAACGAGTATCCCCCTAGAATGGTTGATTTAATATAGGCACTCACTCCCATATCGAAAAGAAACTCTTATAATATCTCCATGGCCACTGACTTCACTTCCGAGGAAGAGCAACTCGATTAAGAAGTTTGAAAATTTACAGGCTTTGGTGCGTAAATCTTTCTTCCTGGTTCTCCTTTATTGGCTCCACATCCAAGTCTAGCTAGCACTTTTAGATCTCTTGTATCTTTTCCTTGTAGTCAGTTAACGTAGATAATTAAGTATTAAGTTTAATACAGAAGAGGACTCAAGTCCATACACAATATGAGTCCGTACACAGAAACGAGCCAACGACTTGAGCATTTAAAGAAGTCTACAAAAATAAGTCTACTAAATACTATTTGTTTATTGCACCGCGTGTGGTGTAAGTAATAAAAAGATAATTCAGTCTTTAAAAACCATTCAAAGCATTTAAAGATTTTTTAAACCAACGGAGGAGATGAGATTAGGAGCTAGTTGCCAATTTGGAAAGAGAATCAAACCATACCAAAAGCTAGTTGGTTTTTTTGTTTTTGTTATCTGATTAGTTTTAATAAGTGTTTCTTATTAATTCTTGCATAATCAGAAAATGAAAACATCTCATTAACTGTTTTCTCTTATAACTTTCTCTCGCAATATTTTTTAACAATAAGTAATTTTCTTATAGTTGACCAAACAAACTAGGCTTCCCAAATTTTTTTTAAAAATCACATACCACCCCAAATAAGCAATGTCAACCGGGCACTTAGTGTTTTTATTTTTATTTTTTTTATTTTAATACTTATAACTGTGAACTTTATTAGAGATGAGATTAGGGCGGGTGGGCTAATAGGAAGTAAAAGCGCCAAAGAGTCGTTGTTGTTCCTAGATGTTAAAGTTGAGAACTTATTGTCAATGTGATGTAGGGATGGGCATTCAAACCAGAAAATTGGTAAATCGGGCCGAACTGGAATGAAAGAAACTAGGTTGACCAAAAACTTGGTTGAGTTGACCAAAAATCTAACTGGACCGATTCTAACCGATTCTAGTTCCGATTTGACATCTCTAAAAAAGGGACCGGGCCAAATCGAACTGGAATCAAATAAAAAATAAACAAATAGGAATATATTTTGGTGACCCAACTATTAATCCCATGATATTTCTCACTTCCCAAGCCCAATTGCCAAAACCTAACCTTACTTAAACCCAACAACTAAAGCCCATCAACTAACACCTAACCCTAAACCCACTTTTTCTGTCATTTCTCTCTCCCTTATCTTTACTTTTTCTTCCTTTGTGCACCACTTCTCTGTCTTTCTTCTACACTTTCTTTATTTATCTTTCTATAGTTTTCTTCTTCTTTCACTTTCTCTTTTTTTCTCTCTTTTTCTTCTTCCTCTTTCGCTCCTTTTCTTCTTTTTTCTCTTTCTTCTTCCTCTTTATGATTCTGATTTTCTCTTTCGGACCTTCATCCTTTTCTTCATGACATGTGTCTCTTTCCTTACACTTAAAACAATGTAATTAATGCATCAAATAGACTATCATTTGTTTTTCAAATTTACCCTTATTAAATCTATTGATTTTAATTTATTTAAAAAAATTTTACAAACTTTTTACCACCTTGTTAAAAATTAATTAAGAAAAATCTAAGTTTGAGCATTTTTCAAGAAGACTCTATCAGTTTTCCGGTAGAAGTCAAATCCTAAAGCAGTTTTTGGGATTATGGCAAAAAATGTATTTTGGTAATTCATGCTCGACACTTACCAAGCGTTGGACGTGCACGGGGTTCGACACGAATTCCAAAGTAAAATTTGGGTCGGGTCTTGTCAGATTTGGTGTGGCACAATGGACCACAATAATAAAATCGTAACAAATAATAGGCTTCATGCGTATCAATACAAATTTTAACTAATGTTAAATTTAATGTTTAATGTCCTTGTTGTAACTTTGAAGCATAATGTTTATATGTTCGAAACAGCTCAAACTATTTCAATCCAAAAAAATCCATTGGAGCGTGTTTTGTTAGAGACTTTTTGTCCGCTATTGTTTTTAAGAAGTCAAGTTGCTTATGATATTTTGTAAGGCTGTAGATGTTATCAGCTTTTACTTTAGTTGGTAAGGGTAGGTGTGTGTGCGAAGAGTGTACTAACAACACAACTCATTTATGTGTATCAAGAGAGAAAATCCTCTCAACTAAGTTTTCATCTATCAGAAAAATATCAGAGAAAGTCTGGAGCTTCAGACCTCTGAGTTAATTTGTTCATTATTATTCTCTTCTCTATTTCTTGTATAAAATGCACAACTAATGTATATTAGGCTGGTTTGGTTGGGTTTCTCCGGTTTTGAAAATAATAATAAAATTCCTAATCAAACCGGCGGATCAGTTGGTTTTTGAGTTTGGCCGATGAGAAGGAGATTCAAATTTAAGAATCTTTCCAACTTGGAAAAGAAAAGCATTTTCCTATCAAGAATAAAATTCTGTAGATGGTGTAGTGCTAATTGTAATTATATATAGTTGACGAGGTGTGCTTCTTAGAGCATTCACAGTGGAAGGGTGTAAATTCGGGGGTGTAAAGTCACTTTTACATCTCCTTTACACATCTGCGGGGTGTAAATATGTTTTTTGCTCCAGTGGGGGGTGTAAATTCGAAGGTGTAGCCGTGAGTCCCAGCATTTTATGTTGACTTTTCTTCATTTTTCTTCTCTTTTCTCGGGTGGGTCCCGCCTACAAAGGATGTAAAAATAGATGTAAATATACATTTTATTTTACATCCCTATGGTAGTGATGTATATTTACATTCATTTACATCTCCCCATTGGAGACAATTTCGGTGACTCGGGGTGTATATTTAACATACACCCCCCCACTGTGGATGCTCTTTGTGAGTTAGTCTATTTGAGTATTTGAACAATGAGGAATGCTATTCACAGCTCATCGAACTCGCTATACACGTGTCTCTCTACTCATGGTTTCCAAGTTGGGCATTAAAATAGTATAGAGTTGATTGTACGTACCAATGTTATCTCTCTTCTTTCTTT